CCTTCCTTCCTTCCTTCCTTCCTTCCTTCCTTCCTTCCTTCCTTCCTCAATCCAACAGCATCTGGTCTTGTAAACATACAACTAACTGTCCCTGACCAACTCTGGTGGCTTGGTCCTTGCAGAATGATCCATCCAGTTCCTGTAGATTCACAAGCGCAGATACTATTGTAGCATGCAGTAGTCTCAACTACCCATGAACTAGTTGTTTTAAGAGATAAAATATATATTCATGAAGCAAATATAATTGCATACAATAGTTTACTTGTTTATAATATAATACAGAAGAGTATAACAAGCTGGGAGGTGCCAATTTGAAACTTCCTCCTCTCTTTAAAATTAAAAAAAGAACATCTCATAATTTCTGATTTCTAGAATACTATTAGCCTCAGGAAAGATCCAAAAGGTTTCTTAGAAAATGAAAGAAAGAAAAAGAAAAGAGGAAGGAGGGCTAGAGTCCAATATTTATGTTTTCTTGCTACAGTAAACGGGGAAAGTTGAAAATACCTTGCAGGATTGGAAACAAGGGTGAGGATATGTGGCATTCTGATATTGATAACTGGCTATATTTTTGTGAATAATTGTTCTTGCCTACAAGTCACCTTGTGCCACGAACTTTTCCCCAAAATTTCAATGTATGAAAGAGAGAGAAAATGAGAGAATTCTTGAAATAATAAAAAAGTTCCATTTTCTCCCTGCCTCCCTGATCTCTCTTTTAATCAGGAAATAATAGGTATTTCCCCTTTTCTCTTCTCTATTCTCATTTGTATTATTTTCCTTTCCTTTCACCCAGTGTATGATTTTCAATTTCATTTGAAATGAAGAAAATAATGGGTAATAAAGTCCTGTTGCAGGAAGTAGAAATGTGATCATATGTCAGGCTTCTCATCATTTGGACAGTGAAGAGAGACACCTGGTAATGAGAACTCCATAGAATTTGGCTTCTTCATAAAACTTTGGATTAAAATTATATATTCAAAAAGAGAGGGTGGAGGAAATGCTTTTGCTAACTGCATTCGTCTGCTTCTTTTTTAAAAAAGTATATTTGAATTGAAAATAGTATCAAACAATTTTTTAAAAAAGAGTGGACAGTTTTGTATATAACTAGAGGAAAATCAGTGTTAAATCAAAAGAATTTAGGAAATAGATTTGTGTGAAACTTATACATGCTAATTTAAAAGTAAACTTACATAAAAATGGTGATAAATATGATCTAAATATGGTGTCATCAAAGAGGGGAAACCATCACCTTATTCCAACTGAAGGCCTAGTTTATCTCCATGCTGGTAATCCTAAAATGTTCCTTTTGGTTTTTTAATTTAATTTGAACAGGGAGGACAAACTGAAGCTGCCTGAATTTTACTCAAGTCATACAGATTTTAGTGACACAATTGCTGAAAAATGGTCATTTGGTTTCCATTCCATTAATATGGAATGGAAAGTTCGTGAAAACAGAAATGTAAGCCCCCAGTTAGGGATAATATGATTGATAAAAGCAAAGGAAAAAAATTGGAAGAAAGCTACTATGGGGTAGTTTTTGTATCTACAAACTACCTCTACCCTCATTGTTAAAGATAGAATTAATGGAAATTTCTATGATTTGACCTCAAAAGTTTGCTCATGGCAACTTCAGTTAGGGTAATTATATTCTTTGCAACTCTCCTACTCCAGAAATAGTTTGTACTTTAGTTATTTACTTGTGTCAGTGAAAGCTATCTGGTTCCTTGTTGGTGACAGTGTCATATGCACTATGACACTGTATACTCTAGGTGGCACTCAAGTGTCAAGGATAACCATTCAGCAACTTGCTTCTAACTTTATGTAGAACAATGAATTGTTTTAAAATATCAGAAATACGAAAATAAGTGTAGTTGTATGTTAAAACATGGAATAGATTCCCTCAAATCTAGGGCCACGCAGATACCGTATGTTTCCCAGGATTTTTTTTTTTCTTTTGGTTGAAAGCTTTATAACTTGTTGAAAGATGTTGCAGAGAGAGAAATAAGCACAAGGGGTTAGAATTTTATAGATGTCATTTGCATTTTCAGTTCCTCAAATTATTGTAGAACTTATAGGTTAGTATTGCAATCTCCAACTTTCCTGGAACACATTAGGGAGGAAAAAAAAAATCAAGCTCTCTACTAAAGAGCCACCATCAGTCCAACTAAATTGTTCAATCCAACAATGTCAGAATAACATCTAGACATGGAGAAATGAATAAAATTGCTTGGAAACTTTTTTTCATAGCTAAAAGGGTCAATTTAGATATGATCTAGGCATTTTAATAAGGTAAATAAATGACCCAGTTTCACACTAAGAAATTTGGAGGCAACTACTTGGTCTCAACAAGTCTAAAGTCTGTCCTCAGTCTCCCCTTTTTAAAAGTTTCCCACAGTTATATCTTTGAAATCTGTTACTTTTATTTTATCCCCCACAATGCCCCGAAGACATCACATTCCTATAATGCACTAGAAGAGACTCTTAGGCACCTAGTATTCTTTGGCCAATTGCTCCTTTCAGTGTTAAGCCCATCAGGGTTCAGCTCCCAAGCTCATTCACAGAGCAAGAGAATTCACCCATTAACCCTTCGCTCTGCAATGATATCTGGGCACAATTGCAGTTGGGAGCTAATAGTATTGGATTTGAAGGCTATGTGAAATGAGGGCTTTATGGAATAAATATTAAGAGAATTAAAGGATAATGATCTACTATTCCCTGTCCCTTCTGTGTGCCAGAAACCCAAAGTGTGGCATCAGATTGAAGGCTGCCTAACACTCTATTGGGACTTTGGAGGTACACCAAGGTTCAAACTTGCGTGGGGATTTTTGTCACCATTTTATCCTTTGCTAAAGAGACAGGGGATCCAAACAACTGGAGATGGGCTGGTGGTACATCGTATCAGGGACTGTATCATAACTTTGGGCAGTGGAACATTTTTAGGGAAGATAAAGTCTCTAGCAGAACAAGCAGCCCCTGATGACATATCTGACCAATGCCCTGGAAAGCGACCCTTTGTTTATGAGAACAGTACTCTTATGCAACAATTATTCTTCCTCCCCTTGGCAGATGTTAGATTAGTGAGCTAGCATTGGCTTCTTTATCTTAAGGGTTACAAGGAGAATACAGATAAGAAGCAAACAAAAGCAACCAACAATAAAAATCATGCAATCTGCAAAGCCCTGGTAAGAAACACTTTAATCCTTTCTGCACAGGTATTTCTTTTATGTGCAAAGGGAATAAGGGGCCACAACACTAACTCCTTGCCAATCTTCTACTGTGCAATTTACTCTCTCAAGCCTGAAGCCAAACCTAAACCGAACTTCTGTGGAAAAGATGGAATTGATGAAAATGGAGACAATTTGCATTGGTACCATGTGTCAGCCCATTACACCAGAAGTGTCATTCTTTGAAAGAAAAACAAGTCATAAAACCAATTATCTAACTATGTGCCAAAGCCATGCATGGCTACCACAACATGTGGCATCCCAGATGTTTGTTTTTATTCAATTTATTGAATGACTCAATTGAATAGTGATTTAAGGCAATTTATAAGAGGATTGAAAGCACTGATGGTCAAGGCAATAAAACAGGAAAACAATAACCACATTAGGAGAAATAAACACTTAAAACAGATATTTCAGTGGCTTCACAAAATTGCTTCCAACAATGCCTGTCAGAAAAAGCAAAACTTTTAGGGATAGCAAGTATCAAGTATCTAATTTTCTGGCTGAATATAGAGACAGGCAGCTAAATACTACAAAGGCTTCCATACAAAGTTTCTGTATTGGATTATATCAGGCATCCTCAAGGTATAACTCACAGTTATCCTGAGATTCATCTAATGTCCAATCTTTGCATTGTCATCTTCATAGTGTGAAAAGATAGTTATCTTCATCCCATAA